ATATTTTATGTCTTTTTCAGTATGCTTTGTCACAGTTGCATGCAACTTCTAAGTTGTGTGTTGACTTTTCATGAACTACATCAAACTGTATTTATTTAATTATGCCATAAAAGTTTTTGTTTGTATTTTAAAATTATTGTTGTTTTGTTTCCCCACTTTTCTATTTTGTCAACAGAATAGTCTTTTAAAAAAGGAAACAATGTAAAGTATATAGTAAAGTATAAATAGGAAAAATATAAATATACAACACAATTTGACTGTTAGAGCCAAAGTTATCTTAGCTTTTTTAAAATGTAACATACAAAAAAAATATAATATATATATATTTAATTAAAGGTAAAACTGAATTTTAGTAATCCGCCAACCGGAACAATCATTACTGTTGTAATATTTAGGTGTTTTTGCATTAGAAACATTTCAGTTCCTGTGTCCCAGGTATGTATAAAGCATGTTTGATAAAACACTTAATTGGACATTGAAGTGGTGTGTCCCCAAGGTGAACAGGGAGAAGGAGTTAAGCCTTGTCATTGCCTCACCTTCGACTCCTCCCATCATGTCTCCCACTTCTCTAAATCTCCTGCCTGAATAAGAGCAGTGTTGAGATGTAATGGAAAGGAAGGGCATTGGAACATACGCCCTGCTGTTTACTTTAGCCCTGGTGTCGTAAGTACTGCCATAATACTTCAGGCTTGAGGACAGACAGATCAGGTCTTATGAGAGTCTTTGTAGGGGTGGACCTTACTGCAGAAACTGCATGAATGTTGTGTCAAATTAACCAAAATCCATGCTCACACACATGTAGCTGCTGAATCACCACATCCCAGTCCCTGGAGGTTTCAAACACAATCTAACCCTAACACTATCCTTAACACTATTACTTGAAAGTTTGCCACTTTTCCCTTGATTTACATGAAGATGCTAAACTATTCTGAAGTAAAGAAAAAAGAGTCAATATTATATTCTGTCACACACAATAACACACATCACACAGCACATACAGAATGATGATGATGTATATTCTTGAGAATAATTGCTAATATTTTACATATTCTTTTCCCAGGTATGATACAGCGGATTGTGTTCCTGTCCATGTGCCTGAGCATCATCTCAGCAACTTTTGACTATGTTTATGACGAGCATTCTCTCATGGGTGAGACCTATAATGATACAGTATGTACGGTAAAATAATAATATTGCTGCGCTGTTTCCTAATATTCTGTTATATACAGTGTATATAATTTACTCTGTTTTCATAGATCCAGAAGACGTGCTATCTGTTGCTATCCCTCTTGTGGGGACACAGCAACCTCTATTGGGAGGAACAATGATACTACCATGTTTCTTTAAGGTTTGTATTTTGCTTTTGTAGCCTTGTTTTAATAGCAAATATAAACAATACAAATAGCAAATATTACAATTCCCTTAAAACTTCTTCAGTAGCTTCAGTAACTACAGTAAAGTAGTCTAGAATACTATCAAGTCACTATTGGCTAAATTAAGAGTGTTTTGTTAAAACATCAAGCTTTAGGTTATATAAAGAATGACGTTATGACTCGAAATAATTATTCACATTTTGTTGTTTTTTTTACACGCAGTTAAAAAAAAATCATTTTTGTGACTGTTGTAGGACAACACTGTTCCAGATCCTGGAGCACCCACCATCGCTCCACTGTCTCATCGCATTAAATGGAGCCATGTCACCAAAGAAAAGGTTACTACCATCCTTGTGGCCTTGGAAGGACAAGTGCGTATCACAGAGAAGTACCTGGACAGAGTTCATCTGTTGGGTTACCCCAAAACCCCAACAGACGCTGGCATCCAATTATCTGAGCTGCGGTCCAGTGACACAGGGGCGTATCGCTGTGAGGTTCAACATGGTATTGAGGATAACCACGGCATTGTCCACGTGCAGGTTCAAGGTATTTGCTTGTGATGTGAATTTTTTTTAATTTTACACAGTTATATATATAAATATGTTTATTCATAATAATTTTTTTTTCTGTATCCAACTTATTTCACCCTCAAATGTTCTTTGACATAAACCTTATAAATGGTGTTCTATATGATAACATGATAAAACTTGTGACATGTTTTAACTTTTAACTGCTGCTTCTGTTTATCCTCCCAGGTATTGTATTCCACTACAGGCCCATCATGGGACGCTATACTCTGACTTTTAAAAACGCGCAGGCAGCGTGTGCCCAAAACAGTGCAGTCATGGCTTCACCTGGACAGCTCCAAGCAGCCTATGATGATGGTTTCCACCAGTGTGATGCTGGTTGGCTCACTGATCAAACCGTCAGGTCGGTGTGTCATGATTGGTTGATTGATTGATCAATAGATAGATAGATAGATAGATAGATAGATTTCCAGTCAGTAGTTTACATGTTCATATTCATGTTTTGATATAGAAGAGATGTATAAAGAAATACATTTATTTCTTAAATTTAAACCTCAGGTACCCAATCCATGATCCTCGTGTAAACTGCTACGGTGACAAAGAGCATGTGCCAGGCATCAGGACATATGGAGTGAGAGATCTTAATGAGACATATGATGTCTACTGCTTTGCAGAGAAGATGACAGGTAGTCTATTGATCAGGCTTTGATCTCTTTAAAATCACCCAGTTGTGTTATGTGTTTACTTATTTCACTGCTCATCTATTATTAAAATACTCTTACAGGCAGAGTTTTCTACACTGCATCTGCAGAGAAGTTTAGTTTCTTTGAAGCTACAGTGGCATGTTCCAAACACGGTGCTCAGCTGGCTACCACTGGTCAACTCTATCTGGCCTGGCAAGGTGGGATGGATGTCTGTAATGCTGGCTGGTTGAGGGATAGGAGTGTTCGCTATCCTATCAACATTCCCAGGCCACAGTGTGGAGGGGGTCTCCTGGGAGTGAGGACGGTTTATCTCCACACAAATCAGACTGGATATCCATTACCTGAGTCCCGCTATGACTGTTTTTGCTACACAGGTGGGTTATTATTAGAAAGTATACTCGTATCTACACTATTTTCCAATATCAATTATTGATCATTTCCAAAAAATACCTGGGAGAGTAAAATTTTGTTCTACAATGTTCTTGTCAATTAATTAACAAGGAAAAAGCATAATGCAAACACAATCTCAAATTTGATGGACTTTTCTCCCACCAAATTATTTCCAGAGTCTCCTGATGAGGAAGGTTCAGGCGCTGTAGAAGAAGGCAGTGGTATGCTGAGTGTTACTACAGTGACACAGAGCGCAGACGTGTTCCTCAGGAGAACAACAACAGAGAGTGAAGCTGTGGGGCAGCTGGAGACTCAGCGACCAACTGCTGTGGACTTCACTTACACAGACAGCCCCACTGAACTGCCACTACCCCAACCACCTGAGGCCACGGAGCTGATCACGGACCAGTTAGAGTCAGTCACTGCTCAGCCTGATGTAGGCAGGGAGCCCAGCAGAGGCTCTGTAGTACCTGCAACAGGTTAGTAAAATAAATATGTTCATACAGTCCAACCAGGAACATTTTCCTGAAAGTAACTCCTGGTTTGATTGGTACGGAGGTAATTATGAATTTTTCATCATTCATCAATGTTATTTAAATGCATTTTTCTTTACTTCTGTCCTGATTCTTCTGCAGCTGACTATCTTCTATTTGTAAATGAAACTGGGCTGAATATCACAGAAACCCAGGAGGCTTTTCTCAACCAGACATCCATTTCTGATTTGTTGATGCCTGGTAAGCCTTGATTGAACGATGAACAATTCAGTACATCTGTCACGTGTTGTTTGTTCTTTACAATTGTCCTTATTAAATATTTTTCTAGTTACTCCCACCGTTGCTTATCCAACTCCTGTTGAAACATCAGGCTCTGGTTCAGGCTCCGGTTCAGGCTCCGGAGACCAAGCAACCTCTGGCTCTGGAGACACTTCAGGCTCTGGAGATACCTCAGGCTCTGGAGATACCTCAGGCTCTGGAGATACCTCAGGCTCTGGAGACACCTCAGGCTCTGGAGACACCTCTGGCTCTGGAGATACCTCAGGCTCTGGAGATACCTCTGGCTCTGGAGACCAAATAACCTCTGGATCTGTAGACCACATGACCTCGGGAGACACTTCTGCCTCTGGAGAACAACTTAGCTCTGGAGACCTCTCTGGCTCTGGAGAGGAAATCACCTCTGGAGATGTCTCTGGCTCTGGAGAGCAGGTTAATTCTGGAGATTTCTCTGGATCAGGTGACCTTACTGGTAGTGCAAGTGCTGACCTGTCCTTTGGAGGATCAGGTCTCAGTAGTGTTGTCTCTTCAGGGTCAGGTGGTAGTGGAGAAGAATCTGAAATTTCTGTAACTTTTTCGGGCTCTGAAGGACTTGTTTCTGGAGACAGTCTGTTTTCAGGCAACATTCAGGAAGCTGGAGAAGGAAGCACAGAAATTCTAATCTTTCCTGTATCTGAGACAGGGTCTGGAGGTCTCAGTGGTAGCGGGGATCAGACTGGATCTGGTTTCAGCTCTACCGATAGAGACTATTTTCCAGACGGATCAGGAGGAAGTGGACAGTTCTCTGGCATGAATTCTGGTTTTGTTACAGAGCAGGAGTTCTCTGGCTTCAGTGGCTTTCCATCTGGATTATTCTCTGGAAGTGCTAGTGGATACTCAGGGGAATTTTCGGGGAGTGGAGACACTCACATTTTACTGATAGATGGTGACCTGGTTGATACACCAACTCAAATTCCCAACAAAGAATATGAGCTCAGTGGGGACCTTATGCAGAGCGGCTCAGGATACACCTTCAATGGTGATCACAGTGGCTCAGCTTCTGGAAGTACCTCAGGTTTCTTTTCTGGAATCACATTTGTGGGATCTGGTTTCACTCAGCTTGTATCATCGTCTTCTGGAGAAGAAGAGGCTTCTGGGATTTTACATTACAGTTCTGGACATGGAAGTGGTGATTATTTATCTGGATTTGGAAGCTTTACTTTCATCTCTGGATCTGGATCTGGCTCTGGATCAGACATGTCTGGATCAGAATCCTCTGCAAGTGGACAAGTAGGTAGTGTATCATTCCTGAGTGGTGATTTCATGAAGGAAACATCTGGAGACACTGCACCAATTATAGAAGAGGGACTGGGGTCAGTGGCGTACAGTGGAGAGGGCAGCAGTGGCAGCAGTGGCACCAGTGGCAGCAGTGGCACCAGTGGCAGCAGTGGCACCAGTGGCAGCAGTGGCACCAGTGGCAGCAGTGGCACCAGTGGCAGCAGTGGCACCAGTGGCAGCAGTGGCACCAGTGGCAGCAGTGGCACCAGTGGCAGCAGTGGCACCAGTGGCAGCAGTGGCACCAGTGGCAGCAGTGGCACCAGTGGCAGCAGTGGCACCAGTGGCAGCAGTGGCACCAGTGGCAGCAGTGGCACCAGTGGCAGCAGTGGCACCAGTGGCAGCAGTGGCACCAGTGGCAGCAGTGGCACCAGTGGCAGCAGTGGCACCAGTGGCAGCAGTGGCACCAGTGGCAGCAGTGGCACCAGTGGCAGCAGTGGCACCAGTGGCAGCAGTGGCACCAGTGGCAGCAGTGGCACCAGTGGCAGCAGTGGCACCAGTGGCAGCAGTGGCACCAGTGGCAGCAGTGGCACCAGTGGCAGCAGTGGCACCAGTGGCAGCAGTGGCACCAGTGGCAGCAGTGGCACCAGTGGCAGCAGTGGCACCAGTGGCAGCAGTGGCACCAGTGGCAGCAGTGGCACCAGTGGCAGCAGTGGCACCAGTGGCAGCAGTGGCACCAGTGGCAGCAGTGGCACCAGTGGCAGCAGTGGCACCAGTGGCAGCAGTGGCACCAGTGGCAGCAGTGGCACCAGTGGCAGCAGTGGCACCAGTGGCAGCAGTGGCACCAGTGGCAGCAGTGGCACCAGTGGCAGCAGTGGCACCAGTGGCAGCAGTGGCACCAGTGGCAGCAGTGGCACCAGTGGCAGCAGTGGCACCAGTGGCAGCAGTGGCACCAGTGGCAGCAGTGGCACCAGTGGCAGCAGTGGCACCAGTGGCAGCAGTGGCACCAGTGGCAGCAGTGGCACCAGTGGCAGCAGTGGCACCAGTGGCAGCAGTGGCACCAGTGGCAGCAGTGGCAGCGGCTCCTCAGGTGTTTCTTCTGGATATCTGCACCAGGTGGCGCTGCCCTCTCCATTTAGTGATATGACAGTTACAGAGAGCACTTCAGAGGAGATTCTTATCACCAGTGCATCACAGAACCCTGAACATTTCTATGTGACACCTGGGCCTGCACTTGCCCCAGCGGGACTAGCTGCTCCTAGTGGTGATGTTGCACTAACACCAGTAGGAACACTGGGAATCATGGGACAAGGAGAGGCAGTGACAGGTGAGCAAACCTCAATTCACTTTTTTTTAAACTTTTTACTTTGATATTAGATAAATGTCTGTCTCAGGATAAAGGCAGTAAGTGATGATGATGTGCATGCTTAGGCTTTGAGATGAATTTAATAACTGGTGGACGTAGTATATACTCAGTACGAATGCCTCTACTACTACTAATGTCTGTATCTGTAAATGACCTGCCAGACTGTGACACCTAGTAAAATTATAATAATCAGTATGGAATAATTGTCTAAATGATCTAAGAAAATAAGTGATGCATAAATAAATATAAGAATATAGTAAATAAATACATAGTACCATAGATGTATGTTTTAAATTATAAATTTAATCTGTATTTATATTCATAACTTATTACACGTAAAACGTACTTATAATTTAGATGAATAACAAGTTAGAATGTATTTTACTTTTAAATCAAAAAAAAAAATCCAAAATAAATGACAAATGTTTTTGTTCAGATAAAGTCAACCCTTGTGAACCTAATCCTTGTGGTGCTGATCTGTGTACGGTCGAAGACGGTGCAGCTCTCTGCCATGGTGAGTCCTCAAACCGTTGCATGTTCTTCTCATCATAGAAGTGTGATGTTTGAACAGACTTCACTTGTTGTCTCCGTCCTCTTACTCTTTTCTCTCTTGTTTTGACCTGTTGTGTTTTGCACTCACGTGACGGTTTATGTATTCACTTCTAATTTTGTTGTCCTTCTTATTAATTGGTCTGCATCTGCCGTGCATCTCACTTTATTTGTTGAACCAATGTGAATTCAAAGTTGTAATGTCTGTGTGTTGTTGGCTTATCAATTGTGCTTGTTTGTTGTTTTTGCCTCTTGGCCTGCTAGTAGATCTATTGAGTTTATGCCGAAACCACATCTCTTCTCTGACACTGTTTGCTCTCGTTCCACTCTAATAAAAACTTAATGCAATATTTATCATTTTTGCCATTTTAAACAAAATAATTGGGATTTTTTACAGAATTAAAATCCTCATTATTAGAATTTAAAAGGCTCATACATAAATGACAAAATATACATTAAGTATAATCTGCATTAGTTGCAGTAGCATCTCCAGTGTTGTTCACTGCCTGTGCAGATTAATAAACCTGCTTCACTCCATATACCTCGCTCCATACGCTGCACTATCTTCCTCTATCCTGTGCTTAAACCGTAGTGTCAACCGCAAACCCTTTTTTGCAGAGGTAGATGTGTGCCACTCCAATCCTTGTGCCAATGGAGCCACCTGTGTGGAGAGTGCAGACTCTTACAAATGCTTATGCCTGCCCAGCTACGGAGGGGAACATTGTGAGATTGGTACGAGATCAGCTTCAGCTTCAGCAATACTAACAACAGCTTTAAAAAAAAACAAAAACTTAACAGGTCAGGTGATGTCGAACATCACTGATGATGATAAACGTCAGTGATGCTACGTGCACATATAGTCCTGCGATGTGACTATCAGACAAATCTGTTTCTTACTGGGTCTGCTATTGGATAGGGACAAAGAGTGTGGAAAACGTACAGTATGAGTAGCAGGGAATATTCAAGAAATTACTGTGTTGTATTTCTTTATACAATAACCCAAAGAACACTGCTGAGTTATGTTACCCTGCTGAAATTAATCATATAGAGTCTATAGTGCACAATAATTTCTAATGTCACATTTATGATTAATAACACTCCCCGTGCTTATGGTCATTTATATGATAATGTTATCATATTAATGGTCGTTATGTTTTGTCCTACACATTTCTTTGCCAGGAACGTTTTTGCATTTAGTGTCCTTCCGTTCCTTGATGACCTTGATACTTGGTACAACAGATATAAATAGGCAGAAGAAAACGCATGTTGGTTATAAGGCTTGTTGTTGTATTGCTTCTGCCTGAGATAATTAGCCTCAAAAAGCATTCATTATATGCCGCTGAAACACAATAACACTTTTCAACCAGCGATGCTAAATGTCAGTTACATGCATACAGTACATGCATTTGCAGTATAGACCATACAAACTGTATGAATAATAAAAACACATGACATGCATTTGCAGTATAGACCATACAATAAACCACTGGAAACCTTCATGAAATTGGAAAATAAGACAGCAACAGAATAAATGAAGCTACGGAAAATTGATTTTCTTCTAGTTAAAATAAAAAGCTATATTAAGCTAGCTGTTCTTTTACCTCCTGTATTGGGACGCTTGTTTGGAGAAATCATGAGAACGTAACAGTGTAAGTCTGTGCCAGGGATTGTTTACAACTAATCTTACCCGTGTGAAGTTGTAAAAGTATTTAAAGGTACAAGATGTGAAGTGTATCCTAGAAAATCTTAAGTGACTTAATGTTCAGTAATGATTCTTCCTTGGTCTGCGGCTGCAGACGAGCAGCAGTGTGAAGATGGTTGGACTAAGTTTCAGGGGAGCTGCTACCTCCACTTCATTGACAGAGAGGTGTGGGTGGATGCAGAGAATCGCTGCAGGGATCTGAGTGCTCACCTGGTCAGCATTGTTACTCCAGAGGAGCAAGATTTTGTAAATTGTGAGTCTGTTGTATGGTACATTTTATACAATGAATAATTAAAAGGTAAATGAAGATATAAAGAAAAAGTCAAAATTAAAAACGTGTTTTTATTTATTTTATCACAGCAAACGCTCAAGACTATCAGTGGATTGGGCTGAATGATAAGACAGTGCAAAACGATTTCCGCTGGACAGATGGCACACCTTTGGTGAGTGAGAAAACTCCAGTGCCATGTTTCTCTGTACATGGCAGGGCATAGAATGTGGTGAGGTTTCAATGGTGGGCACAGCACATGATAAGTCAGAGGAAAATGATCTTCTGTTGAAACCAGCCAGAACCGAGGGTGCCACCAACAACTCTGAAGTAAAACTGTCATGACAGAGCAAAAAACTAAAACAAATTACATCATTTTCAGTGTTATAGATATATTTTTATGTCTTTTCTTCAGCAATATGAGAACTGGAGACCAAATCAACCAGACAATTACTTTCATTCTGGAGAAGACTGTGTTGTGATGATCTGGCATGAAAATGGACAGTGGAATGATGTGCCCTGTAATTACCACCTACCATTCACCTGCAAAAAAGGTCCAGGTAAAGTATGATGTTACACAATACAGTCCACCTCTGATATGGTTTTTCCATTACTGAACAATTACTATAGTTGATGAATGCTTAGGTGAAAACATGTTCTTCTGTGAGTGTTGGGAAGTATATAAATGAAAAAAGAATTAACATTGTTTAATTTTCCATTTCAAATTAATCTTTGTGTCCAGGTGGTCACTGCTTTCCAAAATTGGGGGCTGACCCCCCAGGCAGTGTGGAGCCATTGTGTGGAAGCACAACATTGGGAAATTAATTTCAATTTCAATACTGAATTAAATTAAAAAAAATACATTTACACAATATTAAATATGTAAATGTATTTTCTGTTTACCTAAAATAGCAGTTTTGTAGGAATCAGAGGTTAAAAAAATGCTGAAGTTGAACCTAAAATAGGGAGGACTCTTTGTCAGAGCTGCTGTTAGAGAACCATCCACAGTAGGCTGACCAATTCTCACTTCTGCTCATGTCCTCAGTGTCTTGTGGTTCACCGCCAGTAGTGGACAATGCCCACATGTTTGGTAACAAGAGAGATGAGTACCCAGTCAACTACATAATCCGATATCAATGTAACTCAGGATTTAAACAGCGCCATCCACCAGTCATTCGCTGCAGAGCAGATGGCCAGTGGGAGAAGCCCCAAGTGGAGTGTATAAATGGTGAGTGTGCTCTCTGTGACACCATGTTACAAACAAATATTTGTGAAAATCGCATTTTATGAGTCACTATTCTCATTCATCCCTTGGTGCAGAAAAAAGATTATGGCGAAGAAAAACCAGGAGTTCAGGATCCAGTCACAGGTTTACCTGAGAAGAAAAAGAAGAATCTATTCTTTTTTTAAATGAATAACATAGAGGGTATGAATAAAAAAAAAATCATCTTTTGTGGACATTATTCAGAAGGTTACAGTGCAGAGAGCACCAAGTGAAAAGTTCAGCACTAAGGTAAAGCATTCTGTTTTTCTCCACCTGCAAATACTAAAAAAAAAAACATTTTAGTTCATTATGATATGAAACTGTAAAAGATGAAAATGAAAAGAACTTGCCCTCTGCAATTTTTTGTTGCAAATATATTTTGTGGCATTTAAATGAAACACTAGAAAAAACACATTTGGAATTTCAATAGAAAAAAAAACTTGCACTTGGTTTAGTTTGAGAAGATTAAAATAAGAAGTAAAATCTGAGGAAAATATTTTTATTTTCCTAAAGTCATTTCTGTGACAGGTTTAGTCTTACTGTTGTACCTCAGAACACAGCGGCCCATTTCCCTTTTCTCTGATGCATCTGCTGTTACTTGAAAAGTGACCATAATTAATTAATTTGGATTACGTATAATGACGTTTTATCAGGCACAAATATGGATGGATGGATGGATTAAGTGGGGTGCCATGAGACTATTTATCAAATCAAATTTGTGCAGAGGTCTACACAAACATCATGTACACGAATTTACAAGTAATTCTTATTTTGTTGTTCTTATATGTTGCTATTATTACTATTATTGTTTTTATTAAGTGTGGTTTTATTGCACATTTTATCCAGTACCATGTGAAAAAAAAAACACACAAAAAATAGGTAATATATTATTTAAATGTAAAGACAGCACACAAAGGATTTTTGTGTGGTGAGCCTAAAACTAATTATTTATTGATTTTTCACAGTGTCATTGTCTTGATGGCAGAATAAATCATTAATCACAAGGTCAAGATGCAAAGTGCAGCATGCAGTCAACGGTATATTAGATTTAACAGGTTACTGATACACATTATACCAGCAGTGTAACTCATAGTTTGTTAATTCTGTGTTTAGGTCACGTCTCCTTTTACCAGACTGTGCAGGACATAGTGTTTATGTGAAGCAATAAACCTGAAATTGAACAGATTATTTTTGTAACCTCAGAAGTAATCATGGTGCACACGGACGGTATGAACATCCTTATTTTCTCTCTTTACTTGTTTTGTTTCATTCACTGTTGCGGGGGCTGTGCCTCCATCAAGCTTACTGTGTCTATTCCATAATAAACCAAGTTCTCTTGCTTCAGATTAAAAGTTGTTTAATCATATGCTATAACCTTGACTACTCAGTAAATAAAGATCAAGTCTGTTGAAATTCTTCCTATCCTAATCATATGAAAATAATAAAAACAAGTATTATGTAGGTGTTTGTGTGCAGTTGTGTGTGGGTGTATCTGTCTGTGCCTTGATCACTGAGGACATTGAGGCTTTTTAAAAAGCATAGTAAAGCATAACTCAAGAGACACTTGCATCACTTACTGTATTATAGATGCAACACATTGCTGAAGCAGATAAAGCATTTTATGTACAAGAAATTGTTACTCACACACATAGGGTGATATCATAAATATGCAAACATTGGTTTTAATCCTATAATTCTCATTCTCAATCCTATTTTTTTTCTAACATAAACCAACACATGCTTACTGCTTGAATAGCTATAGTCTAAAGATGCTCTAAGGATGAGTGAAGCACTGTGGTCCTTAATTTTCTGTAGCAACCTTGGCTCTCTCTCATGTCTATGTACCCAGCACTGTTAGATAAATATGTTAACTAAGCACATTTCCTGGTTTCAAATTTAACTACAATGATTAGCTGTAAGTGCTCCACTATTTCGGAAAAACCACCACCCACAAACACCAGGTACAGACAACAAACAAGCCTTTCACTGATTCACTTATGCGTGACTCTCAGTGAGCTCAGTGTTTCTGTGGTAGCAGCAGAGGTAAACAACAATGACTCATAAGAACAACATTTGAGTAAATTTTAAGGGTTGCACATTGCATCACTGTTGCCTTAAATCAAACAGAGCCCTTTTCAAGAATCCTTGGTGCCACACCTCACAAGGCATACCTCCATTCTATATCCTTTTTTTTTGTTTGTTTATTCTGCTAAGGACCCAGAGCCAAAGTCAACATATGTAAGCCCCTGTTATTGTAGCTGCCTTATTATTAGTAGTATTATTTTATTGTTGTACTTTGTTGGAGTATTATATATATATATAAAATGCAACCGTCAACGGCACCAGGAACCACTCTACGCTCACACTCTTTTCCGCCCGGACTTTATACGAGTAGGACTGCTTAGCGATCGTGTTTCTTTGCTAAATAATGGCTCTGAAGTGCTTTCCCGGAGTTTTTGCAGGAACAAATAATCCGCGAAAATACAAAATAAGATATTGAAAATTATGTTAATTTGCCGAATATATACATGTTAACTCAAACAATTATTTACATTTTGTTAAGTTTTGATTTTCGATTACTTATCCTTCTGAACCTCAACTGTGCTAACGCGCTATTAAAATCAAACGTTAGGAACGTTACTGTCCTTCAGGTAAGCAAATGTGTACTGTGATAAGAAAAATAGAAACGTCGCCCTGGAATATAAAGTACATAGTACATTTTTGAAAGCTCTGTAAACACGCTGGTGGTCAACAGGCCGTGATTGTTGTTGGCCAGAAATACATTTGCCCTGCGTTAGTTAGTCTTTGATAATTGCAAACTACAATAACCCGTTTTTAAAATAGTCACAGTTGAGCATAATTTTTGTCAAATAATTGATCAGTAGTTAACATTTTTTCTATATTCAAGATATGTTAGAAGATACTACTACTAATATTTAATACTAATGATAGACACTGAAGTGAGCCACAGCTGAGGTGCACTGAGCATGGCACCTTCTCCACTGCTCCTAAGGCACTCACTTCTCCCTGTTTACCATAGTGATGGGTTGAAGGCTGAGGGAAAATTTGGTGTGGTGTGGTGTGGTGTGCATCAGTGACAATAATTTGCTTTCACTTGTTAGAATTATTGCGAACTTCTAGGTCAATGGTGCTTTTGTTTTCTTGTTTTAATAAATCGAACTAGGGCAGTGGCAAATATGTCGACATACACACTCGCTGTGTAAACCTTACACTTCAACCCTGTTCAGTTTTCCACCACATTTTATTTGTCTTTCTGCTCAGGTTGATGGCTGACCTCAGTTCTGCCAGTCTGTCTGGTCTCACATCATTTGTCTCTACGTTACTTCCACCTGGTTTTGCCGTGGGACCATCACAGCTATGTGAGTACAGGCTGGGACTGTGGTGGGTCGGACGCTCACTTGAGGCAGGATTCACACTGAGCAGAGACACAGAGTGGGCATGGAGGAATCAAGTGGATTCAGTGACTCCAAAGTGTGAACTTTTAATGAACACTGAATTCAAAACGAGTCGAAGGGAGAAAGATAAGGTAACCTCAATGTACACGTATTCAATATAAAGGAGTAATACTTTTTTTCCCTAGCAGATCAGGCTGGCTGTAATCTTGCCCTCAGACAGATGCTTCACCTTTCAGCTCAGTGAATTTGATTTTTTTGAATAATATTTAGTCCAAAGATTGTTGGCTTTAATATTTTGGAAACATTATGTATTTAACATTTTTTATTTTTTATTATTTTAAATTATTTTTACATTTTTAATCTTTATTTGTGTCCCACTATATTTTCCTTTTAGCAAAAACAAAAGTGTTCTAGAAATTACAACAACTGTCTCTGAATCAGAAAAAAAAAAACACAATACAAACCTGAGTATACCGGAGAATTGCAGTGTTAACCTTCTCTGGTGTTTTTATTTCCTTTTGCTAGCAGCATCTTTGTAAATGTAACCACTTTTTCTTTTGTGCATACATACAAAAGTAACACTTCTGTCTCCAAACCCTTGGGAAGATAATGCAAAGTTTTGCTTTTTGCTATTTGAGAAAGTTGAATCATTGTTATAGACAAAGAAGACTTATCATAATTGCAGACAATCAATCCACATTCAGAAACACAAAAGTGCTTTTTTTTTGTACACAGTGGAACTGAGTAATGGAAATCTTTACAACTTAAAACAAGAATCTAACGTTACAATGTTTTGGTTATGGTGTGAAGAAAAATACATCAAGAAATTGTTTTCCAGCAACTGGGCTGGCTGTGGTCTTGGCATAGATGATATAGGCGGTCATCTAGAGCGCCATCAGCTGGAGGGGCAGCCACCATTATTCATTTGTATGATCGTGTGTATGTTGGGAGGGCGGTGGTTAAACAACATTAATGATCATATACTATAGTCCATATGGTTTTAATATATATGTATTGTTTTTATAGGAACTGATTGAGACTGATCTAGGCAAGAAGACTCTACTGCAAAAAGCTGTTTTGACCAAGTAAGGCGACACACTTTTGACGACACTTTAGAACTTTTTTTTTTGTCTGAATTTCTGTATTTTTAATTTAACAGAAGAAAACAAAACATTTGAAAGACCAACAGTATCAACAGTTACAGAATATTATTAAAACTTTTCTAAAAATTAAAAAAAAAAGAAACAGTAGGAAAAACAATTAAGGAAAAAATGAAATCCTTTAAAGTTCTGTTGACCAATGCATTGTGTTTCGGTATTTCGGTAACAATATTTAACAGCTGCCGTTTAAAGGTTTAGATTTGCTGTGTAAAATGGTTTAAACTCTAATCCTTTCCTGTATTGGGTCAGATCTGTGTTGAGTTCAGTTTTTCTGAAGTGAACAGAACACTCAATTTATATTGTATTTTGCCATCAACTTTGACCTTTTATAAAATGTAAAGGTGTATTATGTCTGAAAACATCTAAAGAAATAAAATTCAATCCCTACAATAAACATAACCATATCAAGCAATACAAATGTATTTGCAAACGAATTATAGTATATCAAGTAAATTCCTGAAAGCTGTTCAAACGTCTGCTATTTTTCTTTCCTTCTCAGCTTTGCATGTCAGACGCCATGCAGAGCTCAGCAGAATGTTGTAGTGCAGTGTGCGTGTGGAGAAGAGTGTGTGGCCGAGTGTGTGGATGTGTGTCTGCGTGTGTGTCAAGACATCCAACCTGGAACAGAGCTTGTGTTCTACAACTACCCTGTGGCAAAAAGGAAAACAACAGAGAGAAGTGACACACAGGAAACAGGTAAGATGCAGAAATTATTTTTTATAATTAATTTCACAACATTATGAGTGAATATAATCCTATAATAATTAATATAATAATAACAGTAAATAGATGGAAATGCTATAACAAAATTTTAAAGATGTGTTTATCCATCAAAAATTTCAAAATTGTCATTATTTGTATTAGTAAGGAAATTGCACTGATTTGTAAGTTTTAGGGCTGTCAAAATGTACACAACAATTCTATATGTGGAAGTTCAATTTGATTTTGAATAATAACATCCATTTGCTCAAAATACAAAGTCAATTCACACGTTTTTTATTTACACACGCTGTGGTAAAAATGCACAATGATGCAAGTTGTATTCTATATTTTTTGTTCACTGAAGAGAATGAACAATCGTCGACAGTTAAAGTAAGAGACCATTTTATCTGTCTGTTTCTTAGAAACTGAAATGTCCTTGGGAATAATTTTTAAAGTGCTCTTACAAAGTGAAGAGTGCTTCACCTGAAAAGTAAATACTAATAAATCAAACATCAGCTGCAGGCTGCTTAAAGGGGAAGTATGTCGTTAAACCCAACACTTTAACCACATCCACTTCATAATGGGGGGAAATTTATTGAAAGTAAAAATTACACTCAATCTGTTGGGTATTGTTTTTTATTTTGTAATAACTATATTTTTTTAATGAAGGAAGACACACTGACAACAGTTATAATTACTTGTTTACATAAATATTACACTTGAATCAACTTGATTAATATATTTCTAACCTCTTTTAAAAATTCCAACTTATATTTTGTCACTGGACAGATCAGCATGTAGGAGATGGTAAACTCCAGGAGAGCTCTCTTAACAAGGAATCTGTTGAAGACAAAGATGTGGCAGAAAAGACACATGAAAGGAAAAATCAAGAGGAGGAGGAAGAGGAGCAGAGTTGCCCTGAAATGAACATAAAGAGGAGTCGCTCACACCAAAGCAAAAAGACGAAAAATATAGAAACATTTCTATTGCAGGTGATGAAGGACAATGACAGACAACAGGACAGTTACACTGATGATGGGACAGAGAAGAGAGCCATAACAGACAAAAATGAAATTGTGGTGCCGTCGTCTGTGGACACACCAGCTAACTCCGAAGGCCCTTCTGCAACCCCCCACGTCCGCTGTAGTTCACGTCTGGCTGCAAAACCTCGACTAGTTCACTGTGTGACAAATCGGGTGAAGCAGCATCCTTTTCTCACCATCCAGTCCCAACAAACAGAGGGTCAAGAGAAGGAAGTGCTTTTAAAACCAGTGCACTGTAATGCACAGGTTACCACAGCAGCAGCGACATGGAAGCCAGGGAGCAGAGAGAGACGGTACAGATGTTCCAGCTGTGGAAAAAAGTTCTACCAACTGGTTCATTTAAAGAAACACCAGTTTAGCCACACAGAGAAGAAACCTTTCACCTGCACAGAGTGTGGAAAGAGCTACACCTCTACAGAGAGCTTTAGAGCTCACCAGGTGGGTGATGTAACTGACATCACACAAAAGACTTTGCTTTCTTTAATTATTTGTCTTTATGATCCATAGCTGGATGAATAGGTATGACATATATATTTTTATGCAGATGGGTCACCGAGGAGAACGCCCGTTCTCTTGTCCTCACTGTGAGAAGAGCTACGGGCTGAAGCGGGACTTGAAGGAGCACATGGTCCTTCATACCGGTGAAAGACCTTACACCTGTGAGCACTGTGGCAAAGCATTTGCTCGCCGTCCCTCCCTGCGCATTCACCGCCAGCTTCACTGCAGTAGGATGGTTTACACACAGCTTCCAAAGGTAGTGACATGACTATTTTCAATCTGATTAACTACAGGGAATCTGTGGATTTTTCATGATTAATTCAGAAAAATCTAAACGTATTTTTATGTACGTGTTACCCACTTGTTTCTAACCATTTCAAAATTACGAGTGTAGAAAAATATCAAGAGAATTTGCTTTCAAAACTCTGAAGTTCTTTCTCAACAGTATTAACTGGTCCAATGTCAATTTCTTTATTGTGTAAGTCATCTGGTTGGCTGTAGACTTACTGACTTCTCTGTCCCAGGCCAGGTGTCGGACCTGAAGTTGAAGCATGTGTTAGAGATGCAATAAGTGAATGGATGGTTAAATGTGCTCTCTGAGTCATTTTGCCCATGCTTTGAAATGCTTAGTCAGATTTATCTTCACAAAATCTATTTAATTTGATTTAACAGTATTAATGTGGTAAATTTGACAGCCCTATAAAGATCAATCTTTGTATTGAAACATTTTTCTTTTTGCAAAACTCGTCACACTGGCCTTTTCTACCAAATAGCTGAAAACAAATAAAGAACATTTATTTGAATTTCTTTCTTAGGTGCAGTGCACACTTTGCCCAAAGCTGCTGGCAAATTCCAGCTCTCTAAGGAATCACATGAAGCTTCACACTGGGGAAAAACCTCATATCTGTCAACACTGTGGGAAATGCTTTAGCCAAAAAGGTATTATATGAACTTGGTCACTTTGTCAAAAAATTGTCACTTTTTAAAATGTTTGGCTTTGTGGGTTCTCTGTCATCCAGGTCATACTATATTTTTCTCAATTTCTTTGGAAGCAAAGATTACAGGTAAAATGAAAAGGAGCAAATTCTCATATTCTGCTGTTCCAGGAAACCTAGAGTGCCATCTGAGAATCCACAGTGGAGAGAAACCATACCCTTGCCCCCAGTGCAACCAGAGTTTCTCCCAGAAGCAAGAATTACGTCGGCATATGATTTCCCACACGGGTGGAGGTTTCCTCTGCAGCCACTGTGGAAAATCACTGAGGGACCCACACAGCTTGAAGTCCCACGAAAGACTGCACACAGGAGAAAGACCCCATCACTGCCCTATTTGTGGAAAAGGTAAAAATACACGTACGATGGTTTGTTCTGTGGGGGTATTAGATTTATTTTTATATATAAGTCCAAATAAAAACAAATCTCATCATTCGGTTGATTCCAGCAATTTCACAGATAAAAGACTATATATATTTTTATAACTAATAATAAAGTCTACAGCAATAGGTGGCTTCATACATAAATATTAATATCTAGAAATAGATGACATTTTATATAAAATGTAAATGTCACAGAGGATTTTACATCACAGAGAGGAGTGGGAACACAAAATAGAGAGAAGACAGCTGTGAGCAGTCACTTTGATTAAATGTCAATAATCCTTCCTAAAAAATGTCATTTCTTTGCTTTCACAGGTTACACTTTGGCCACCAAGCTTAGGAGACACATTAAGTCCTCTCACACGATGGAGAAACCATACAGCTGCCACTGTGGTGCATCATATACTGCCAGACAAAGTCTACTACGACACCAGGCTCAGCATGGGAAAGAGAGTGGAACTCTGGAAGAACTAATGGAAGATGATGGAGGAGAGAACAAAGATGCTGTTTTCAGCCCAAGTCACTCAAAGCCAGTCAGGGGCAGACCCAAGAAGAATTCCCCACAACGAAGTGCACCACCAGAGGAGGGCAGTCAAGTGAAGGAGAGGCAGGAGGAAAGAAAAGGAAAGGAAACAGACGATCAGACTGCAGGGGCAGGCGATGAGGAATCATCTGACAAGATGCAGCATGCTGTTGTCTACATGCACACGGACAATCTGTCCGCACCAACATCTACATCCTTACTTCTTACTCCTGAAAGCTCAGAGAATCCCACAGGGACAGGGCTGGTGGAAGTGGTAATATCGGATGACACAGAGCAGTGCATCGTGGTCCATCCACAGCAGGCAGTGGAAGAGCTGGTTATTTTGCAAGAAGAAGGAAGTGGACTCTGCTCAGTGGCTCAGACTGTTGAGATAAATTCTTTATAGTTAGTTTAATATCAAGTCAGGTTTTGGCCATTCAGTACTGCTATTGCTTATGATGAAAAGAAAATTATAAATATTAAAAAGATTCAACTCATATTTATTTTTGTCAATTTCTCACATTTAAAGGTCAATTATTCCTACTGTGCAATTTATCTTGCTGCTGAGTTTGAGATGACATTCACTTTTAATCTTTTTCTCTCTCATTGGTCGAACAGGCTGTTGTATATAATTATATGTGTAAGAACACCAACCATCCTTATGAGAAGCTGGTGCTGGAGGTGAGATGGCATCAGTGATTGACAGTCTGTGGGAGGTATCTTTAGTCTCTAATCCAGGTTCAGGTGTTGGTGTACTGAAGCTTTTTTAATCTATAAAAGCAGCATGTTTTTAGACACAATATTTTGTAAATATATAATGTTCAAAACAAACAGTGTAAAAACAAACCTGTATTTCCAGTCTTTTTGCATAATTTCACATTTTGGAATTAAAATAAATACCGATGGTAGAATCAGGCAGTCCTACAGCTAAAAGAGAGTCTTTAAGGCAATGTTTTAATGATCCTGCTTTGGCTGTAGCTGTTCTCCCAGGAGGGTTTGAACTGAAGAGTTTATACTAGGACATGTGAGAGACAAACTCAAGAGAAGATCTGTAATTATAACTAAATTACATGTTTCCTACATGGAAGTCATCAGGAGAATATATATATATATCTATATATATATATATATACAGCGTATATATATATATACAGTATATATATATATGGGAATTATTGGACTAACATTTTATTCGAGTGAAAGATTGAAAGGCAACAGTAACTGAATCACCAAATGTTTGATCACAAAGTTACTGAGCTGGGCTGCTGCACATGCTGAAGGGCACAGTTAAAGTCACACAACTAACTTAAACTGCAGCCTGAGTTCAGGTGGGATTGCAGACCTCCTTCTGCATCAATGTCTGTGAATAGCAACTGTAAGCAAACCTTGCATCACCAAGAACAACACTGGCTCCAGTGTCGAAAACCTCACTGGCTGTTGCTCTCTGAATCAGTGGGAAGAGAACAGATTGAACTTGATCACTTCTGATACTTCAGCCATAATTGTCTGCTGTCTTGTTTGTACTTCTAATTCCGTAGTTGTCAGTCTCTCTGTCCGTGGTATAAAGGTTGAACACATGATCTGTTATTGGCCTGCAGCCTATGTCCTGTTCCTGAGCCTCTTCGTGTCGTCTGATTTCATTTGTATTGATGTGAGAAATTTCTCTCAGCCTGCTGCATTCTACCACTGACTAAGATTTTTCAGTTTGTGAGTGTTTTTGAGGAGGCAGGCTTGAACAGGATTGAACATTTGTTCATTTGTTGAACATTTGTTCAACCCTGCAGCAACAGTGCGTGTCATTACATGTGAGATGTGTTGTTCGGTATGGCCCCAGGCTGTGTCCTCATGGGATTACCCTCCAATTTTTAATCGATGCCATGCAGGGTTTCCTGATGCCTGTGACTGAGGAGCTTGCTGCCTCCTGAGGTTGACACGAATGCGGAGCCTGTGTCACAGCCAGGGCTGCCTTCAGATCCAGGGGCTACAGAAACACACTGCAGGATCTGCCTGTCTATCAGTGATTGATTACACGTCTCAACTTCTGTCTCTCTGATCTCAGGGTAAATAAAAAATGTACCATTTGAAAGTTAATGAGAACATAACGTCTTCTCTCACCACCACAGACACGTCCTCTGATATATATATATTGTTTTGGCTCCTCACTCTCTCCCTCTAATTTCTTTCATTATTATCTTGCATCATTTCTTTCATTTCCTTCCACAGACCCTCGTATTTTTCTTCATTCCTCCAAATTGGTTTAATATTTTCTTTTTATTTTCTTCAATGTCATTTTGCCTAATACTTATCCTTCTCTTTATGTTTTTCTCCTACTACTCAGAAGTATGTGTTATTTCATGTCCTCTTCCAGACATCTCCCCAAACACATGTCCTACAGCCCACATATGTTCTCAAATTTTAGTTTTGTCCTCTTCCCCAGTCTTTTGTTTTGTTTTGATTTTCTTGTCCTTGTATTCACAGTCATTCTTGTAAGGACTCTGCCTCAACCTTTGCCGCAACTAGACGCCTACAGGTGCCAAAAAGGCTTGTTGCTGATTTTTTTCCCTAGAGAATAGAGTTACAGTGGAGCTCAGTTAAAAAAAATGAAATGTCCTTTTCAAATGTAGTTCTCATTTTTTCCAGTTTCAACTGTTAAAAAATCAGCAGATGTAGAACTTTAATTGGAACAGAAATCTGGGACTTTGATGGAAATGATTTATAATGACAAACACAAAGTTACTCTCTCTCACAATTTCACTCTCTCTCCCCCTCTCTCTCTCCCCCTCTCTCATCCCTCCTCTAATCCACTCCGTTTCTGTCACTCTCCTTCTTTCCTGCCTATTTCCCCTCCTGTCATTCTTATATGAACTTCTCTCCACAGATTCTTTTTCATCATCAAACCCTCCTTTAATCTGTCTCCTCCTCCTCCTCCTTCTCCTTCTCCTCTTCCTCACTGCTCTTCAGCAGAGAAAACTCAGCAGCAGCATCCGTAGGAGCAGCATCCGTGTCGCTCAGCACATCGTGTTACACAAAAGTGAGGACATCTGGTTTTTTTCGTCTTGACTTGTTTCTTATTGTCTTATTTTTTTCATTTTTCTTTTTAAAATCATTTTCATTTTGGCTCACTTTTGAACAATTTTTGACTGTTATTTTTTTTTACCCCGGAATGCAACACCGTGAGGCTACACTGCAGTTCAAGTGCTAGAATTAGAGCATATAGTCCTGAGGATGTGTATTCTCTTTTCTTTTCGGCATCTTGTTGGAAATAAGTAGGTCAGTCCTGCAGTTGACACAGTGTCACCCTGTGGTCTGTGCTGGGCTCGTGAGGATAGTTAACAGGTATGGCTTTTTAAAAAGCATATCACCTCACAACTGGAAGATTGTTCACTGAGACCTTTGTACATTTTTCTCATTATTAACAGTTAACATTAATTCCTTTAAAGGTATTTAAGCTACAGTTTATTTATTTATTTATTTTGCTGTTTTCCAATTGGCTGAAAGGGTCTTTGTTGAGAGCACTAAAGTTTCAAACCCTGACAACATGAGGTCAGTGTTTTAGGCAGGATGGACTTATATAATGTTTCCACTCTGGTGTTGGCCTCTTTTCCACCAAACGCCTCCATGGACAATGTCAGTCAAACCATCTCCTCCTCCTCCTCCTCCTCTTCGAGATCTCCTCCTGTATCTCCTCACTCACAGGTGTTTTCAGTGTTGATCATCCTGGTGGTGACAGTCATCATTCTGGGGACGGTGGTGGGTAATGTGCTGGTGGTGGTGGCGGTGTTTACCAGCCGAGCTCTGAGAGCCCCTCAGAATCTCTTCCTGGTGTCTTTGGCTTCAGCAGACATTCTGGTGGCCACTCTGGTGATCCCCTTCTCCTTGGCTAATGAGGTGAGCAACACAAACACTCAGTATATCCAAATTAGACAAAAATAAGAAAATATTATATATAAACGTTAAACATCACTGTTGTTGTTCTGTCATCAGTAAATTGACATTTTCAACATTCATTTGTTGGAATATGAAAACTTTACACCTACAGACACAGACGTCTTGGATGTCTTCTGCAACATATTGGCAAAATCATTAGACATTAATTGTATCATATAAGTTCAAATGTTTAAATAAAATTGTGCAGTATTATCTAAGTGTCTGGTCGCTAGGCAACTGCATAGCAACAGAGTAAATCAAAGATTTACTACATGCAATGTTACACCTTTCTTCACCTTCACTACTGTACTTGTCCTCGCTGCTCTATCAATATACAATTGAGTTTTACTTTTCTCAGGTCATGGGCTACTGGTTCTTTGGCCAGATCTGGTGTTCTTTCTATCTGGCTCTGGATGTTCTTTTCTGCACTTCCTCCATCGTCCACCTCTGTGCCATCAGCCTAGACCGCTACTGGTCTGTGACTGAAGCTGTCAGTTACAACCGAAAACGTACGCCCAAAAGAATTAAAGTAATGATCAGCATTGTGTGGCTCATATCTATAGTTGTCTCATCTCCACCACTTCTCATGACTCACAAAGATGAGTCCTTGGAGACAGAAGATAAACACAATGCACAGAGGCAGAAGTGTCTCCTCAATAACCAGACGTGGTACATCCTTTCCTCCTGCCTGGTCTCCTTCTTTGCCCCTGGAGTCATCATGATACTAGTTTACTGTAAAATCTATCGTTTTGCCAAGCAGCGAGCATCCACTGTGTTTGTGGCCAAAAATGTGATGGAACGACAGCCGTCGCAGTCTGAGACCTGTTTCAATGGTTCCTCAAGGACTTTCCAAAAAAAGGGAGCTGAATGTTTTGAATGCCAGTTTGAACTGAGCAGCTCCCAGCCTGTAAACCGACGCAGCTCTTCGAACATAGAGAGCAGGAGTGGAGGTCACAGGGGAGGAGAGCTGGATGACATCGATATAGAGGAGAAGATCTGCAGAGCTGATATAAAAACACTGTCCTCGTCTCTTCGCTTCCCCAAGAGAGGCAGCAGGAACATGAACGCACAGGAGGGAAGGGATGCTGAGAGGAGAGCAACAAGCAGGTTAAAACCTCCTCCACCTTCTTCTTGTACCTCCATGTCATGGGCGTCATCTGAACATTTCTCCAGTCACTGCTTCCTCCCCTCTCCTGTGCCCGTCCGCAGCAGACAAATGTCTCTGCCCATGCACAAAGTAGCTCAAATGAGGGAGAAGCGCTTCACCTTTGTTCTGGCAGTGGTGATGGGTGTTTTTGTCCTCTGCTGGTTCCCGTTTTTTTTCACCTACAGTCTCCATGCTGTCTGCAGAGAGAACTGCACCATCCCTGACACTCTCTTCAACCTGTTTTTCTGGATCGGATACTGCAACAGCTGCCTGAACCCCATCATATACACTGTTTTCAATCGAGACTTCAGAAGAGCCTTCAAGAAGATTTTGTTTCACACCCAGAAATGACCGTGATGAGGACGATCTAAGCCTGTTTACACTGTGCTGTCATAAACATACATCAAAAGGCTTTTCAGAGAGCTGGAGTATTGATTTATTATTAAACTGATCCAGTGCAGGACCTGCCTCATTTAAATCACTGCGGCTCATTGCATTCTTGTGAAGCAGTAGTCTTAGGTTGAAGACAGTGACCAGAGGGCAGTAATCTCCTCCAGCACAAAACAGAGTTCTAAAAAAACTCTTCAAAGATCAAACTCAAGCAAAAACAAAGGGTTTCATCGGCTTTGAAGTGACAGTAAGATCAGAATTGAAGAACATTAACTTTTATAAGCAGGAATATTTTATGCAAAAATATTACTGTGGATGGTGAACAGCTCAGAGGGAAAGGCACTGAAGTATATTTGCAGGTACAGTTACAGATGAGCTCATCTGGTGTAAACAGAGTCAACGTCTAAAAATGAATAAATGTATTCAACCACAGACAAACACTACTGTGGATAATTATCCTCTCAAGCAGAGGATAAAATCCCTGTGGGCTGTACTCTACTCAAACTCATCCCTGGAAAAACAACAGAACAAACTTTCAGTGAGTGCTGAACTCTGACCTTACACTTCTACCTGATGGAGCGCAAAGAATAGATCATTATTTATTTCCTTTTCTGGCAGACCATAATTAGTTCTCTTAGAGACAGTGAACTGGTGTTTTTAAATTTAGAAATAGACTCAAATTTTCAATCATGGTGCTTTTATGGCGTAAAACAAAGGATGGGGAGTGTAAAGTAAAGTAATCATGCTCCGAGGAAAGTGTTGCTTCTCTGTGGAGCGCCACAGTGTGGTCTCTATATGTATCAAACCTGCATTCTTACATGATTAAATATTTTATTCTGAGATTAAATGTATACAAGTTTTGATTTGACTTTCATTTTTGATCAACAAATCAAAGACAAAATTCAGCTGAGCTCAGTAGCTGTGCCGCCCTGTGAGGTTGTTCTCTGCAGACTTCATTTATTTTTAGTTTTTAACTACCATGTTTTTCAGTCGTATGTGGGGGTTGATGCCTTTTTCCACTCTTTTTTGCAGGGTCTTCTGCTCCCGAGAGGTTTAGCTCTAAAACATAAAAAACAATTGAGATGTATTTGCACTGAAAATGCTGTGCTCTTTAGTCATGATGTTAGGAAACATATTCCCAGTACATTCTACACCCTGTCCAATCTGCTTATTTAAAAAAAGTCTTGAAAATGTGCTTCAGTCTCAGTACACTGAGGGGTATGTGGGAAGTGTTCCACCATATCCTTGTTTTCCAGAATGTAGTTTTCCTCTCAAATGACTCCAATTTGCACAAGTGATTAAACTGAAAACCCAACCAACCAACTTACAATAACTATTTCATAGATGGTGAACATTTTCACAAAGAAATTAAGTCTGTGATTTATTTATACTTATTTGTTAAGAAAATACAAGTGAAAATATAGAACAGATGTAAATATGAAGAAATAAATAACCAAATATGTTGGAACTTATGTGAGTTGTTAAATTGTTATAAAAACTGAGCTACAAAAATGAATCTCGTCTTCTGACAGTCTCTTACAAAACATTTTGATATTTCAAAAATAATTATAGACAAACATAGTGATCTTTCTTTTCTTTCAGTTTCACTCTTTTCAAGTCTTGAAATAATTCACATCTTTTCTAAACCACTCATGTTTTACAGCCAATGCTAAATGGAATTATTCATCACCCCTTGACATGTCAGCTATACAAAAAATGATATGTAGCATTTGTAATGCATTTGTCAGTGTTATTTATATTGAATTTTGAAGTTGATGTTGACTGCAGTAAAAAGGGCACATTAGTATCCCTGCTTGTCATACAGGATCCAATCCCCTCAAACTTCCCTAGAGTGTTTTACACCTCGATGCAAGGTGTTCAACATGTCAGGCCACACCCTCTTTAGTCACATAAGCTAAAACACCTCGATTGCTGAATTCATATGCAATATTCAAGTTTTGCCCCTGTTTCTTCACCAATACTTTATCAGATTGCCAAGTTCAACCGATTGATCAATATTCTCATACTTCACATCTTAATAATGACTTCTTGTTTCAGCATATTAGTTTTTAAATGGACATATGGTCACACATCTCAAACATTCTTAGAATGTTGGTTGTGTGTTAAAATGTACAGTGTACAATAGGTAATTCTGTCAGGCACCACAGTTGCCACACCTGAGATTTAATGGGGTCCTCGGGTGACCAGAGTACGTCGCAATGAAGTGTAGAGCACGTTACGGAATCGAACTCTAATAGAATTACTTTCTGCATAATTCAAATATTGCTGTTTCGCTTACCAGTGGTCAGCAGAGGGAGTAAGAGAGTTAAAAATGAATAGACGGCGACAACGGTAAAAGTAAGTTGAAAGTCTTGAACTCTGTTGCATGATTTATTGACTGGCAGGTTATACTTGTGGATGTATTTCTACTTTTTATCACCTGTGACATTTAGACTGTATTTAATATAATTTACTAAAATAATAAATTATTTACTAATCAGTGAAATACTGTGCAGCTATTGAGACCAAGCCAATTCTACAATGGTCAAGTCTGTCCACTAGTAGTGGTTCTGGCCAGTGGATTGTACAGTGGATTTGTACAGTGGGCTGTTGTGAGCCACAAAGTTGAACAATCTACTGCAGCTGTTTCACAAAGCAGGGAAACACATTGGTTGATAATGTGAGTTCCAAAACAAACCTGAAATGTTGACGTTTCAAATAGAATCAAAACACTAATTTTATGTGTTTGTAACTACTGTTCCCTTTTAATTTTATGGTCAGTTACTTCAAAATTACCTTAATTGTTCTTATTTGGTTAATTTATTGTGCATCGTACATCTGTTAACGTATCATGAATCATCCAGCGTTGGTTTTTAAGACTCCAGAGAGAAGCTGAAACAGAACAGTATTCTGTCATCTTTACGTTCTGCAAGAAAGCCTTACCTAAACAAATATTTGGGTTCACAGTCAAACCCATTGTCAAATAGACGTCCCCAGCTAACTTAGATGGTGGGATGATGTGAAGAATCAGCTATGTATGTATGACTAATTTCAAAATACAGTAAGGTTTTGACATTTTAAACCCAATAGTGGATGTAGGGGCCCAAGGAATACATAGAAATAGAACATTTTCCCATTTTATAATGACAAAAGAAGGTTTCTGATTCTGGTCAGTAAATCTCCTCAGGTTTATCTTGGGGGTTTTAAGATGAGACAATAGCACTTACTCGTGTTGCATTTCAGATGTGACTGGTCAAAAGATCTTATTTTAAAAAAACCCAGACATATATGGTATATGAGATCTCTGATCAGCTGAAGACTCTCGTTCTTTTCAGGAACTTTGTTGCCCAAGATGAGATGAGATGTGATTTTGTAAGAAAGAAAGATCAGATAAAACAAGTTGCTTTTCAATCTGACATTATTATATATATTATTTATATATTTCAGAAGGTCATACATAGTCAACATCAGTAAAGCCATAGGTGCATGGCCTCAGCTCTTTCATATGAAGTGCACAAAAAGCAGTTCATCAATGAGAAAGACCAGACCATTTTCACAGAGGAACACTTTTCCTCAGTTTTCTTTCTGTGACTCCCCTGTATAGCCCAAGTAAGCTCCCCCACTATAACCCCAAACCATACAGATCCCCTAACAGTGGTCCTGTGCGTGATTTTCCCTCTCAGAAATTGTTGTTCTAGTGGAACTTTTAATGCACGGGGGCTCAGATTTCGGCTTCTCCAGAGCAGAGCACAGTGTTCCAGCCAGCCACAGTCTGCACACTAACCACTTCCTTTATCTGAGTAAAGGAGAAGAGGCAAAGGGAGCACAGAAGGACTTTAAGGAGGGAATGGAAGCAAATAATGCAGCTGATGAAGGTTGACAGAAAGGGGAAGTGTGGAAAGTGTTAGTGACAGTGATTGAGGTCGTGAGCTATCAGAGTTGCTTGGATCTAGTGGAAGCACACATTGACGATCCCTCGTGGGTGATTGTGCTTCTCCTTGTGTAGGTGACGCATAGTTCAAGCATGAGTAGACAGTTCCGCAGTTTATTCACTCACTGCAGAAAATGTAGTGCTCCAGTTCTTAAAGCTGCTCCCTAGCTATGTTTCCCTTCTCAGAGCCTCTCATTTGTTCTATTTTCTCACCTGCGATGCATTGGAGCAGATTTAAGTTTTTTGAGGCGAAAAAAAATCTGCCCACCCAAACTTGCCAGCAGAAACTCACGTTTCAACGTATTGTCTGTATAATGTATGCAGTGAGTTGTAAAAATGCACAATGATGAATACATTGTTGTCAACTATGATGCTCTAATTACAATAATGGCAACAAAGGGGGAAAAAGCTACTCTTTAAGGTTTAGTTTAGGACAAAGGACGCACTCAGAACAACCAGATTCAAATTTACATTATTTATTTGTGCCTTCTTTACTTTCTCAAACACATTCACCACACGCAAAGTCTGGACAAATGCACAGTCAATGACAGCAGCCAAACGACTTCACATGTGGTTGTAGTTAAAACAGACCTTTGCTGCGCTACAGACCTCATATAAAAGGGCAAAGAAATTCTCACAGCTTATCATCAAATACAGACATGCCAGACTAGACAGATAGCCTCTGTCCTTTATGCTTTGTCAAAGTCTGATGCCACTGTTCCTACATTATTCGTTTGTCTAGACATTAAAGAAAAAGAAAAAAAAACATCTGCCTCGCTCTTGTTCACTCAATTCCTCCTGACAGCAGACAGAGGCTATATATTTTGCTCTCATAAAAGTCACCAGGCAAGAGGAAAACTGAAGTGGGGAAAATACAGTCAGTGAGTCAGGTTTGCAGCTTCTGCTCATTGATGTGTAGCTTAGAATGCTACCATTAGCAATCATTTGGTTTCCATGTGTGGTCTACGGTACTTAAGTAGTCTTTAAAAAAATTCTCTGCCAAAGAATTACGTTGTTGGATTCTGCTTTCTGCCTTAAGTGCAGTGTGTGATCACTCTGGATAAGAAAGAGACAGGACTTTCAACCTTCATGACATTGTAGCGTTTATTTCCAGAACAGAAAGGTTACACTTTCATGATGTTACCGTCACAGTTATCACAAGCATTCCTCCTAATGGAAACTGTAAATGACTTCTATATGACACATGTTCATGTTGCTTTGTGCTTGTAATGATATATTGAGATGAAAGACAGGCTAATGACTTCTGCAGTTGTGGATTTGTAATAAAGATGACCTTGTAATAAGGACCTTAGCTACTTCACACTGACAGACCAAGTCAACTTATAACAATATTTCAGAAGTGTCTTTTTTTCTCGATTTACTGTTTGAGAAAAAAAAAGTTATTTTTTATTCTTCATGTGACCTATACTATTGTATAAGATGTTTTGGCAGAGTCCACTTTTTAGCTTGGTGGAAATTCTGTAGTTTTAGCTTTGCCTGTCTCAATTATTGATTAAATGTGTTTTGTCCTGAGTTGGTGATATTAATAACTGTTAATCTGTCCAGGCTGAGCCTCCCAGTCATTGTCAGTCAGAACTGAATTCATATTTGATGACTTAAACATTCAGGATAGCATGCATGTACTGTAGTATGAAGCACTTTAACCAGGTTCATTTGAATGGATTGGTTCCAATACAACAACAACAACAACAACAACAATAACAGACGGGAGGGTTGATGTTAAAGCTGCAGAGGTAGGTGTGGTCCACGTACTGTATACCATTAAGTCCATGACTCTTTGTTTGGTTAGTGTAGCTCCTGTCATTGTTAACAGAGCTTGCATGCTAGCATAAACTTTTCATTCCTGGGCTTTGCTCTATCAGGCGAGGGCTTATCGTAAAAGCAGTGGAATGCTAGTGAACCTTCTTAAAAAAATCTGCATCCCATGTCAGTGCACATCTGAAAGGTGGTCAGCTTTGAGAGATTCCTATACGGTCTGGATAAGCTTCATTTAAAAACCACTACTGTAGTGGTCAGGGATTTAAAACATCTCGTAACATCTTGGAACTACAAAAAAACTTTTTTTCAGATCTATAAGGTCGACAGTTTCCTGTTTTAGTTGTGTGTACATCTGACAAACAACTTGAGTTTAAACCTACTACAGTTGATTGCAGTGTGACTGAACGCCCTGATTGTGTTTGATTGAGCCACTAATCGGATTTGGAACACAAGCAAAGTGTGATTACTTTGAGTTGCCTTAAACCTGTGGCATATGTCTACCTCATGGAACAAGTTAGTGCTTTTGCCCTTTGCTTTGATTTAATATGACATAAAACAATGTCAGCTGCAATTTCAGCTTGACAGCGGTATTGAATAACACTGAGACTAAGGGTAATATCCATAACATATCACAGCTGTAACATCTGGGCAAACGTATGCTTCAGGTACATTTCAACGTGAATGTGTGTTCTTGGTGATTTAAAGGAAGCAGCTTCAAAACAATCTGTGACTCATAAATTGCTCTCAATAAAAGTGACAACTAATTATAATAATTATAATAAGGGTGTTTGTTTATTA